CGTTGTCTGGAACAGGCGGACCCCCCCACAGCACTCAGGAGGGAAGCGCTTCCAGCAAGCTGCTGCCCAGGCCCTCCAGAGACAAAGCCGCGAGGCACCCGCCGGAGGGTCCAGCAGCGGCGGCAGCTCAGCCGACAGCATCAAGCTGGAGAGCATAAGGAGGAAGCTCGAAGCTGCCAGAGCCGCCGAGGTAGGTGTCCTGGAGGAGGAGGAGAAGCGCATCAAGGAGCTGCAGATACAGCTGGCAGAGGCTAAGGAACGCCGCCGGGCCCGTCGTGCGAGGGATGCCGGCAAGCGCGAGGCGGAGCAGGCGCGAGCCGGGCATCCCCGCCGGGCCAGCTCAGAACCCCCCAGCGGGCAGAGCGTGGCCACCCCTCTTGACCCAGCCTGGGAGGACGAGACCCCGCTGCCCTCGGCCATCCTGGATGGGGAGAACAAGTGCCACGAAGCGGAGTGCATCCTGAACAACCTGCTCGGGGTCTCAGCTGACGATCCCACGGGACCCGATCGGAGGAGGAAAGCCCGTGAGCTCTTGATCGAGGGCATCAGCTCCATGTTCGAGGATCTACCGCGGAGCTGGACCGGTACCCCCTACGAAGAGCAGGGCGAGATCGCGAGCGAGTACGTTGACATCCTCGAGAGGCTGACCCGCAAGATGGTGAAGGCAGGGGAGCTGGACAACATCCCCGCGAAGAAGCGCCAGAGGATCGTGTACGAAAAGGCGGAGGAGGAACCCCCGAGCGACGGCGCGGACTCCGCGGAGAGCTCGGAGGACGAGGTGGTGGAGAAGCCGTACGCGAGGACCGAGGAGGGACCAGACCCCCCCCTCCCAGAGGACCCAGATCCTCTGAGCCTCTGGCCTGGGCAAGCAGAAGCAGCCAAGCGGAGCAGGGAGGAGCCTTTTCAGAGCTCTCCTGGGGCCAGCGGCAGCGGAGGCCCCGCCCCCGCTGCAGGCGCAAGGCCACCGCCGAGCGCACCCCCGCCGCCCGAGGTACTGGAGACCCCCTCAGACCCAGCCCAGCATCAGAAGAGCAGACTCCCCGCCACGATCCCCCAGAAGGCAGCGCCCACGAGGCGAAGCCGCTCGGCAATGACGGTCGTGGAAGCAGCCAGGCGGGCCGCAGGCAGGTCGACGACCTCCAGCGGAGACCCCCCCACCGGGAGGGCAGACGCCGGCAGCGCAGGGACGTCTGGGGAGAAGCTCACACTCAGGCCCAAGCCGAGATCGTTGGGTGCCCAGCTGCGCGCCACCTCCAAGGGGGAGCCATCGCAGCCCAGACCCCGCCAAGACGATCCAGCAAGGCCACTCGTGCCCCCAGACCACGCAGTCCGACCACTGGTGAGGCCTCCGGGGTGGCGCCCACTCCTCCCAGGGCAGATCTGCAGACCGCCTGGCATGCCGCCGATGATGCCGCCCCCTTGGCCGTCCCCTCCACGGGGAGGCCGCTGTGGGGGACCCCCTTTGGGGGAGGCGCCGGCGGCGCCAAGCGGGGGGAGGGCGCAGGAGGAGGCGCGTGCCTACGTCAAGTGGTGCGCGGACCACCCCACCTTCCAGCCCGAGAAGGTGCCAGAGGTCGTGAAGCGGGGCAACTCACTCCTCCGTCTCGCCGGCAGCATCGAGAGAGCTGCCGAGTTGCTGAAGCACGCGCGGGAGGAGGTCCATGGGAACCCATTGGGCGGCATACTCCAGGAAGACGTGCAGAAGTCCTTGGACCCGCACCACGCCGCCTACCTCCGGGCAATGGCCACCGGGGGGGTGCCCGTGCGGCGCACGGAGGAGCGGGCACGCACGCAGCCCAAGTCGCACTCCTCGGCGGTGGACCACGCGCTGGAGATGTTCGAGAAGGCCTGGAAGGACAGCCGCTACGGCGTCGTCCTCTGGGCCTCGGACGAGGTCGAGGATGTGCTCGCCGCCTCGGCGCTGGTCGAGTCGCCCAGCGGGAGGGTCCCCAAGATGTTGCCGGATCGGACCATCTCGAAGGAGGGCCGGCCGATCCACGACATGCGGGCGGCCAACGCCTTCTCCCCGAAGGAGCAGCACCCGCCAGCGAAGCAGCCCCTCCACAGGGGGCTTGCGAGGCTCAGCCTCTGGTGGGAAGCGAGGCACCCGGGCGTCCAGCAGGTGGTGGCGAAGCGCGACGTGGCCAGGGCCTTCAAGTGGCACCACCTGGAGCCAGCGGCCGTGCCAGAGTTCGGGACGACGCTCCCGGGCAAGGAGGTCGGAGTGCCAGGGCGAGTTATCTTGATCCACGGCGTGCTGGTCTTCGGCTGGGCCGGCAGCCCAGGCGAGTACATGGCGTTCGCCTGGGCGGCCAAGAGCGAGCACGAGAGGAGGAAGCCGCCGGCGCCCAGGATCAACGATACCGTCAAGTACGCCTCCAAGTGGCTCATGGACGACGGGGTTGTCCTCGAGCCGCTGGTGGGCCTCCGACCCTGGCTCTCGGCCGAGGAGCTCGACGGGGCCATGAAGCGAGTCTGGGGCCCGGACGCAGTTAACGAGAAGAAACTGGACGTCGAGGGGGAGTTTGCGGCAGAGCAGCTGATCTGGGGCCTCCATGAACTTCGACACGAAGGTGGTCAGGCTCCCAGAACCCAAATGCATCAAGGCTCAGTACCTGCTCGCACTCCCGGAGCTCAGAGGATCAAGGCGGGTCCCCCTGAAGGTCGCCCAAGAGCTGCGAGGCTGTGCCCAGTTCTGGGCTTCAGCACAGCCGGCCCTCCGCCCCGAGCTCCCTGCCCTGGACCGGCTCCTGAGCAGCGGGACGAGCTGGGCAGAGCCGAAGGGTGCGCCTGAGGAAGTCGAGCTCGCCTGGGAGGAGTGGGACGCGTCGGTGGGGTTTCTGAGGATGCTCTTCGACGTCCCTGAGGCTTGGAGCACGACCTTCCAGGCCAGCTTCACGCAAGCTCTGTCGGTGCGCGAACGCCTTGCACTGCCGGGAACAGCACGTACCACGCGGTGGACAGGCGGAGATGCTACTACTTCCTCGATTGGTGCCATCGACTGGGGGAGCGCAACTGCCGAGGGTGCCACGCCGACGCCGGAGTACATGGCCGCGGACGCCGGACCACTGCTCGAGGCCCTGAGTCACGCGGTCGGAGGCGAGAGCAGCAAGGAGGACTGGATCATAGCGGTGGTTGAGCTGTTGGCGGTGGTCGCGTTGGCCACGAAGCAGGGCTCGAAGTGGGAAGGCGAGTTGGTGTTCTACGTCACGGACAATCAGAATGTGAAGGCATGGCTCACCAAGAGAAGCCCCAAGAACGCCCTTGCCCGCCACCTGATCCGTCTGGTGGAAAGGATCGAAGCCATGCACGGGTGCCGCATCGTCTCATTCTTTGTTAGGACCTACTACAACGAGGTGGCTGACTGGCTTACTCGCGTAGAGGTCAAGAAGGTTCACGACACGCTGGCCACTTCAGGATGGAAGCGCCTAGAGCCTCCCGCAGCCTGGGGCCAGATACTGGAGGACGCCAAGGAGCGCCTTCTCAGACTCCCAGGGGAGACGGGCCCCGTGGCCGAGGCCGCCCTTCGACACCGGGCACTTCAGCGAGGGCCTGGGCTGCCGAGGACTCTCCCGCTCCGCGGGAAACTGGGCCGAGAAGTGGGGGGTCTCATCAACCCGTACACGAAGGCCTTCAAGCGCCTCGGGGGATCGGAGCCCGAGGAGAACCAGAAGGCAGGATGGCTCATGGCGTCGCTGTCCCTGGACCCCAAGGGCCGAGAGATGGAGGCTTTCCTCGTTGCAGCAACCCAGGAGAGCCCTGAAGTGGTAGTCGTGGACGCCCCGACCGGGGTAGACACAGCCAGGTTCGAGAAGGCACTCAAGCAGCTGGGCTACATGATCTCGAAGTTCGAGGTGGTCTGCACGCACCACGGGGACGCCACAACGCGGACCAGGCGGGTGCTCGTGGGCGGGCGTCAGAAAGCGGGAGTGGGCCTGGCGTGCATTAACATGCCGCCGGCCTGCTCGCGAGCTGCCAGCGTCAAGCCACTCCTGGACAAGGGACAAGACCACCTCTGGCTCGACCAGCAGGGCGAAGTGTCGTGGGACCCCCGCATTCAATCCACCAGCGACCCCCTCCTCCTCAAGCCGGTTGGGCACCTCAAGAAGGATGGAGTGAAGCACCTGATCTACAGTGAAGAGGGGCCGGTGGGCACCATCCGCTGGCCAGGGGCAGAACTCCAAGGACCCAGAGCGACGCTCCTCCGTGTCACCGGAGGGGGCGGGGGCACGGTCCGCGCCCTGACACCCCAAGAGGTTTGGCGAGTGCAGGGAGGGACCAACGACGAGTGGACCCACCTGCGAACCCAGGGCTCCACCGAGGACGAACTCCTGAAAGGCGCAGCCAGGGCGCTCCCGCCGAGGACCGCGGAGGCGGTGCTGGCCGCGGTGACAGAGGCGCTCGACAACACCAGTGCGCAGCGTGCCGGGGTATGCCATGATCCAGAGGAGCAAGCCGCGTGGGAGGCCACTAAGCGCTGGTTCCGCGCCTGGGCACAGGCACCGGATCAGCCCGCACTGGCGCTGGCAGCAGAGGATGAGGCGAGGGCCGGAGGAGCGCTCACCGACGAGATGCACAAGAATCGCCGGCGTGCCCAGGCAGTCCGCTTCAAGATGATCGACGAGGACACGCTCATCGGACCCCGCGAGGCCCCAGCCGCCGAGAAGGTCCAGCTAGACAAAAGTGTAACTCGCTCGAAGAGCCCTCGTAAAAAGAGCCCTTGACGTGCCAAAGAGATGCCAGCAACCAACTTGGTGAGGCCGCAAGCGCTGGGCGTAGCTCGGAATAACAACTACCCCAGGAAGGAGCTCGCCCCCGCCGGCCGTGCTGAGCCTGGCAGGGCCAACTACGCCGGCTGGTTCGCGCAGCAGAAGATGGAGGCCATGCTGCAGAAACTCAGCAAAGGCACAAGGGCAGGTTACGAGGGAGGATGGCGGCTCTGGGTAGCCGTGCGCCAGGCGCAAGGACTTAGCCCTTGGCTCCCAGGACGTGATCGCGAGGAGCGCCTGGCCGACGAGGAGGCGCTCATCAACTTCGCCGTCCTCCTAGCGCGGGTCGTCGGGAGGGCCGAGGGGACCATCAAGCAGAAGCTCTTCGCGGTGCGCTACGCCCACCTGGTGGCCGGCTACTCGGACCCCTTGCTCCACAGGGGTCGCCTCTGGAGCACGCTGGCAGGGCTGAAACGCTGGCAGGGGCCCGAGACCAAGCGGAAGAAGCCCGTCACGCCAGCCATGCTCGAATGGCTCCGCGGCTTCTCCAGCAGGAGGCCAAGCTCCCCGAGGAGGATGCAGTGGTCATCTGGGCGGCTATTGTGACAGCATTTTTCTTCCTCCTGAGGGCCTCAGAGTACCTCCTCCAGGACGGGCGCTCGTGGTCCTTCGAGCGCGTGCTGCACGGGGAGGACGTAGAGCCCAAGAAGGAGGGGAAGCGAGTGGCCAGCTTCCAGGACGCCGACGAGATGGTGATCTACATCAAGGGCAGCAAGACGGACCAGCTCAACGTCGGGACGGTGAAGAACCACTACCGCGCCGGCACGACGCTCTGCCCGATCGCGGCGATGGAGCGGCTCCAGGCTCACCATCCTCAGCGGATAAGGGGCACCGAAGAACGGCTGCCCCTTTTCCGCTGGGCGTCAGGTACACCGATCCGCAGGGCAGAGGTGCAGCACTTCCTGACGGTCGCGGGGCTGGCCGCCGGCCTCTCTAGAGAGGAGATCGGCAGCCATTCCCTGAGGATCGGCGGGGCGACTGCAATGTACCACGTGACCGAGGACCTCTCCCGAGTGCGCCGATTCGGGCGCTGGCAGTCGGACGCGTTCCACGGCTACCTGTGGGAATCGCACGAGCCGATGAAGGGCATCTCCGGCAAGATGGCCAGGGACACCTCCTCGCTGACCAACCCGGCGAAGGACAACGCCCCCAGCAGAGTTGCCGCCGGCACCGAGAGTGCCAGGCGTGAGAGCCCATGAGGGGCTGCAGCGGGCGCCGCCGGTGCTGGCACACCTGGCGTGCGCCCAACCCAAGCCGCCGGCCTTCCGGCCGTGCGTGCTTGGGTGCAGCCACCAGCCACCTGCCCCGCCGGCGAGCAGCCGCGCGCTCGCAGAGTACACCCGCCTGTGCCTTCAGCACTGGCTAATACCTCACGGCAGACGCATGAGCATAGGCTCGTCCGTCAGGGCCCCACTAGTGCCTGGGATACTGTGGGTCCCCTTGCAGCCATGGACGAGGACCATGCTGGAACCTGCCTGGCACGCCGGCTCTCTATACCAAGCCTGGTCGTGCCGGGCATACTGACGTCAGCTGAGATACAGTAGCTGGCGATCTGACGGCCCAGTGCGACCGCAGCACTAGAATTCATGCGCAGGCACGGGCCCGCACCCCAGCGCCGGCCCGGGGAACCCCCTCTGTCAGGGGCCGGACCCTGCCCGCCCTGTGCACCTTGGGCACCTGTGGAGGCGGGGAGCCGGGAGATCTGGAGGCCGCGGCGCGGACGGGGGTGCCAAGTACCGGCCCGTGCCGAGCGCCAGCGATGACATCTTCGGGCCTCAGCCCGAGGTCGGGCTCCGCCGGCAATCAAGGCACCGGCGCGAGCCCAAGGCCTAGCCTCGCGGAAGACAGCCGCGCGCGCCGGCATCAGTTGCCTGGCGGCAGTCGGCAGACAGGAGGGCCAGCGGGGCCCCACACGCACGCCGGCGCACACGCCAGGCGATGCGTGACTCAGTGCCTAGACGGTGCCGGCAGCACAGCGCCTGGCACCCTGTTTTGGCGACGCCCATCAGGGCGCCCACACAGCACGCCGGCGCGTAGAATCCGCCAGGCGGCCAGTGTGCAGGGTCACTGGCAGCAGCACCAGTATTATTAGAACAAAGGCGGCGAGGCCCGCTTCGCGTGGCGGAAGGAGGGGCCCGCCCGGCGTGTCAACGCCGGCGGGAGGAGCGTGCGGCCAGCGCAGCAGCAAAACGGGGGGGGGCTGCACCGCTGCCGCCATCATCATCATCATCTTCTCCTGAGGGCCCGCTTCAGACCGCTTCGCGGCTGGCACGTCCCGCGGCCTTAAAGCAGGCCGCGCTTTCGCTAGCGCCGTACTGTGGGGGCGGGGTCTTAGTTGTTTGTCCTAAACGGTTGGACCCCGCCCTCCCCAGTCGGCTTGGGTTTTCTCCTCTCCCTGCTCCTGCCTCTGCCTGCCCGTCTCTTTCCCTCTCTCCCGCTCAAGCCTTCGGGGCTCAAAGCCCTCCCAGGGCCCAAAGGGGCCCTCTTTTGCCCGCCCACCCTGGGCTTTGCCTCGGTGTCCAACGGCACCGGCGGCGAGGCCCGCTTCGCGTGGCGGAAGGAGGGACCCGCCCGGCGTGTCAACGCCGGCGGGAGGAGCGTGCGGCCAGCGCAGCAGCAAAACGGGGGGGGGCTGCACCGCTGCCGCCATCATCATCATCTTCTCCTGAGGGCCCGCTTCAGACCGCTTCGCGGCTGGCACGTCCCGCGGCCTTAAAGCAGGCCGCGCTTTCGCTAGCGCCGTACTGTGGGGGCGGGGTCGCCGGAGGCGCTGCGAGGCCTGTGGACCGCCGTGGAAGAGCTCCTGGCGGGCGCCACCATCGTCCGGCTTCTAACCTTAAGCCCTTTAGCTCTCAGCGAGCTCTCCGGGAAAAACCCGGAGAGCACTTGGCTTCCCGGAAACCCGGAAAGCAAAGAGAATTTCGGGGACGGGAAATCTTCCTTCAAGAGCCTTGGGGGGCTCCCCTGGGGCGCTACGGAAGCGCTGCCAGAAACGCTTCCATGCGTGCCTGCACGCATGCAGGCACGCGTGGAAGCTTGCCGGAAGCTCTCCCGGACACGTTGCCGGGCCGCCGGGGCCGCTGCGAGGCCTGTGGACCGCCGTGGAGGAGCTCCTGGCAGGCACCACCACCGTCCAGCTTCTAATCTTAAACCTTATAGCTCTCAGCGAGCTCCCCGGGAAAAGAAAATTTCGGGGACGGGAAATCTTCCTTCAAGGGCCCTGGGGAGCCCCCCTGGGGCGTTGCGGAAGCGCTGCCAGAAACGCTTCCATGCGTGCCTGCACGCATGCAGGCACGCGTGGAAGCTTGCCGGAAGCTCTCCCGGACACGTTGCCGGGCCGCCGGAGCCGCTGCGAGGCCTGTGGACCGCCGTGGAGGAGCTCCTGGCAGGCACCACCACCGTCCGGCTTCTAATCTTAAACCCTTTAGCTCTCAGCGAGCTCTCCGGGAAAAGAAAATTTCGGGGACGGGAAATCTTCCTTCAAGGGCCCTGGGGAGCCCCCCTGGGGCGCTGCGGAAGCGCTGCCAGAAACGCTTCCATGCGTGCCTGCACGCATGCAGGCACGCGTGGAAGCTTGCCGGAAGCTCTCCCGGACACGTTGCCGGGCCGCCGGAGCCGCTGCGAGGCCTGTGGACCGCCGTGGAGGAGCTCCTGGCAGGCACCACCACCGTCCGGCTTCTAATCTTAAACTCTTTAGCTCTCAGCGAGCTCTCCGGGAATTTTGGGGACGGGAAATCTTCCTTCAAGTGCCTTGGGGGGCCCCCCTGGGGCGCTGCGGAAGCGCTGCCAGAAACGCTTCCATGCGTGCCTGCACGCATGCAGGCACGCGTGGAAGCTTGCCGGAAGCTCTCGCGGACACGTTGCCGGGCCGCCGGAGCCGCTGCGAGGCCTGTGGACCGCCGTGGAGGAGCTCCTGGCAGGCACCACCACCGTCCGGCTTCTAATCTTGAGCCCTTTAGCTCTCAGCAAGCTCTCCGGGAATTACTCTCAAGCTTCCAGCAACAACTTGCTAAGGGAAGCTCTACGAGTTACTAGCTCTCCAGCGCCCTGGAATTACTCTTAAGCTTCCAGCAATAGCTCGCTCAGGGAAGCTCTACGAGTTACTAGCTCCACCCTGCGCCCGAATTCCTCTCAGCTCATCTTTCCGAAGAGCTCTACGAGGTATTATCTTGAAAAATAGTCTGTAAAATACGAATAGTCTAGCTCGAGTAGCAGACCAAGTTCAGACTTCTAGATGCTTCACACGAACGCGCCTGACTTGGTAGCGTCCAAAACCTGGAGAGCAAAGAGGACACACACCGGAAAGCCTTCTTGGCAAGCCCACAGAAGCTCTCGTGAAGCTCTTCTGGGGCTCTGGGGGCTCCCCTGCAGCGTCTCTGAGGCGCTGCCAGGAACGCTTCCACGCGTGCCTGCACGCGTGCAGGCACGCGTGGACGCTTGCCGGAAGCTCTCCCGGACCAGCTGCCGGGCCAGGCGAGCCGCTGCGAGGATCGTAGAGCGGCGGAGATGGGCACCACCACCGCCTGGCTTCTAATCTAAAGCCCTCTAGCTCTCAGAGAGCTCCCCGGGAATAATTTTGAACTTGGTAGCGTCCAAAACCCGGAGAGCAAACGGCGCACACACCGGAAAGTTTTCCTGGCAAGCCCACGGAAGCTCTCGTGAAGCTCTTCTCGGGCTCTGGGGGGCTTCCCGGCAGCGCTTCCGAAGCGCTGCCAGGAACGCTTCCACGCGTGCCGGCACGCGTGCAGGCGCGCGTCAACGCTTGCCGGAAGCTTTCCCGGACCCGCTGCGAGGTTTTACAAGTCGCTGCGGGGATCGTGGACCGGCGGAGATGGGCTGCTGGCGGGCACCACCACCGCCCGGCTTCTCATCTAAAACCCTCTAGCTCCCAGAGAGCTCTCTGGGAATCGAGCGCGTGTGCGCATCAGCTCTGTAGCTCTCCTATTGCTCGAGTTAAGTACAGAAAACCGACAACAGCAGTCAACTTGGCAGCGTCCAAAACCCGGAGAGCAAAGAGAATTTCGGGGACGGGAAATCTTCCTTCAAGAGCCTTGGGGGGCCCCCCTGGGGCGCTGCGGAAGCGCTGCCAGAAACGCTTCCATGCGTGCCTGCACGCATGCAGGCACGCGTGGAAGCTTGCCCGAAGCTCTCCCGAACACGTTGCCGGGCCGCCGGAGCCGCTGCGAGGCTTGTGGACCGCCGTGGAGGAGCTCCTGGCAGGCACCACCACCGTCCGGTTTTTAATCTTAAACCCTTTAGCTCTCAGCGAGCTCTCCGGGAATTTCGGGGACGGGAAATCTTCCTTCAAGAGCCTTGGGGGGCCCCCCTGGGGCGCTGCGGAAGCGCTGCCAGAAACGCTTCCATGCGTGCCTGCACGCATGCAGGCACGCGTGGAAGCTTGCCGAAGCTCTCCCGGACACGTTGCCGGGCCGCCGGAGCCGCTGCGAGGCCTGTGGACCGCCGTGGAGGAGCTCCTGGCAGGCACCACCACCGTCCGGCTTCTAATCTTAAGCCCTTCAGCTCTCAGCGAGCTCTCCGGGAATAAAGTTCGTATAATACGAATAGTTTTACAGACCTAGCTTGAGTAGTGGACCGCGTTCAGACCTCTAGATGCTTCAGACGAACGCGCATGATGATTATCAATCAATTACGTGGGCGCACAAGCTATGTAGCTCTCCTAGAATTCGAATTAACTACATAAGCTCTCCTAGAATTCGAACTTGGCAGCGTCCAAACACCGGAGAGCAAAGATAATTTCGGGGACGGGAAATCTTGCTTCAAGAGCCTTGGGGGGGCCCCCTGGGGCGCTGCGGAAGCGCTGCCAGAAACGCTTTCATGCGTGCCTGCACGCATGCAGGCACGCGTGGAAGCTTGCCGGTAGCTCTCCCGGACACGTTGCCGGGCCGCCGGAGCCGCTGCGAGGCCTGTCGACCGCCGTGGAGGAGCTCCTGGCAGGCACCACCACCGTCCGGCTTCTAATCTTAAACCCTTTAGCTCTCAGCGAGCTCTCCGGGAATTTCGGGGACGGGAAATCTTCCTTCAAGAGCCTTGGGGGGCCCCCCTGGGGCGCTGCGGAAGCGCTGCCAGAAACGCTTCCATGCGTGCCTGCACGCATGCAGGCACGCGTGGAAGCTTGCCGGAAGCTTTCCCGGACACGTTGCCGGGCCGCCGGGGCCGCTGCGAGGCCTGTGGACCGCCGTGGAGGAGCTCCTGGCAGGCACCACCACCGTCCGGCTTCTAATCTTAAGCCCTTTAGCTCTCAGCGAGCTCTCCGGGAATTAAATACAGAAAACCGAGAGCACATGTCAACTTGGCAGCGTCCAAACCGAGAGCACATGTCAACAAGTTTCGTACAACGCGAATATTTTCCCGGGAACATTTCCCGGGAGCTTTTGAGAGCTAAAGGGCTTAAGATTAGAAGCCGGACCGTGGTGGTGCCTGCCAGGAGCTCCTCCACGGCGGTCCACAGGCCTCGCAGCGGCTCCGGCGGCCCGGCAACGTGTCCGGGAGAGCTTCCGGCAAGCTTCCACGCGTGCCTGCATGCGTGCAGGCACGCACGGAAGCGTTTCTGGCAGCGCTTCCGCAGCGCCCCAGGGGAGCCCCCCAAGGCTCTTGAAGGAAGATTCCCGGAGAGCTCGCCGAGAGCTAAAGGGTTTAAGATTAGAAGCCGGACGGTGGTGGTGCCCGCCAGGAGCTCTTCCACGGCGCTCCACGTTCCCCGCAGCGCCTCCGGTGAGCCGGCAACGGGTCCGGGAGAGCTTCCGCCAAGCTTCCAAGCGTGCCTGCACGCGTGCAGGCATGCATGGTAGCGATCCTGGCAGCGCTTCAGCAGC